AAACATGCCCTAAGCGATTGTGCCACAATTCATATGATGCACTTATTTTTGAAGATTTTAAAGTAGAAAGAAAAACTTGATGTCCTTGCTTCAGCACATACAATCCGTTCTCACATTTGCCCCTTGCCAGTATTTCCTTTGTTACCCGATTCTGAATTACAAAAAATGGATTAGAAAATAAAACATCAAGAGGAGCATCATGAGTCAGCTTACTAATGCTTAGGAGATTCTTGGTTATATTAGGGATAACAAGCACATCAGATAATTTGATGGCTGGAGATAGAGTTTTTGTGCGAATATGGGAAATAGAAGAAGGGTTACCATTTGCAAAGATGACCTGATCAGCACCAGCATAAGGACTGGTGGTGTCAAGATGTGAAGAATTGGATGTCATGTGTGATGTTGCTCTAGAATCGACATACCAATAAGGAGAATTGTTGGTAACATGACATTGAGCTTGAAAAGCTTGAGCAAGATTGGTGGTGGAAGCCGATCCTTGATTTGCAAAGGTGCTCAATTTGGGACAAGAGTTGGCATAGTGGCCATTTGTCCTGTACAACTGACAATGAGGAGGGCGACGCCCCCTTCCTCGACCACCATGTTGAGTACCCCTTCCTCGTCCTGAGTATCTGCCACCAGATGAGTTACTACGAGATGAAGCTAGAGGATGAGGACTGACGAGTGGTGTTAAAAGCAACAGTAGGAACTGTAGTTCCATGGATCGTTTTTAGAAATAATTCATGAGATTCAGCTTGGGACACGAGGGTACGAAAGCTTGGAGCTGGTTTGAGAGCACGATAAGTAGTGGAGAAGGTTTCAAACGAAGCTCCGAGCCCACATAAAAACCAATGGTTTTTATCTGTATCATCAACAGGGCTGCCAATAGCGGCTAGCTGATCACAAATGGATTTGAATTTTGCACCAAACTCTGAAACAGAAGATGATCCTTTTTGAAGTTGACGCAGGCTGTCACGAAGAACATGCATACGTTCTTGAGAGTCTTGTCGATAAGCAACTTGAAGAGCATTCCATACTTCGTGAGCTGGGGTAAGACCTAGGGTTTCGGCCATTGCAGCTCCGGTGAGAGAAAGCATGAAGGATGAGAAAAGCTTTCTGATCTGATTCGAGCCAGGAGGCGTACGCAAGGTTTGGGGCAGAAACACCAGTAGCATCAGGGGTGCAAGTTTTTGAAGGTACGACGATGGTGCCATCGATGTGGCCTGATAATTTTTGATAAGCGAGAAGAGTGAGAAGCTGATTGCGCCATAGTAAATAATTTGTGGGGGATAACTTAACAGTGATCATATGGAGAATGGTGTTAAGAGAAAGAGAAGAATCAGAAGAAGAAGAAGAAGAAGCAGAAGATGAGTTGCCGCCAGTCATGGTGAGAGAGAAGAAAAGGAACCCGCTCTGATACCATATAAGGCGTATAAAATTTACCCTTGAAGATCTCATTGTATTTAATACTATATATAATACAGAGAGTACATAACATAATATGCTAAAATACAAAGATTAGATAAATACAAAAAATAACTATGATTTATCTCTAATACTATTTATCTTTAATACATCCAATCAGTTTTTGAAATTTCCCACAAATATGCACACTAGTTACTCACTTACTCGCAAAAGGCAGTTCTTTTGTATATAAAGTTGATGTTAAGGTTGATGACTAACAACCAATACCATACAAAACATATATATTCGAAGAAGCCGAAGAAGCCAATGCAAGTGGTGATGAGATTTATCATATATAATAACTATCTCTAAGTAAATTTGCAAAAGATCTTTGGTTTTACATTATTTACATCTCTCATGCTTTCTTGAATCAAATAATAATCTTGTTTGTTTTGTATTGTTTTTTTTATTTAGTTATAGAAAATAAAAACAAACAGCTTAAAATGATCATATTTCATGATCATTTTAGTGAATAACTATAAAAGTTATTGTACATGCACGAACAAGCAAACCAACATTAAATGATTATATTTTCGTATCTTTTAATTGAATAACTATAGAAGTTCTTGTTCATGCATGGACAAGCAAACCAACATGCAACAACTTGCAAGGTACATGTTGCCATAGTGTGAACTAGCCTCCATTGAAGGATCTTAAGTACGATTATAGAGGATCTTCAATGGCCATGTATTTGCTTCTTCTGATAAGATCACACTAACAAATTTCATTTATTCTTTTTTTTTCCCCTGTTTTTAATAGTCATATTGAGAGGTCGACCATACTCTATTGGAATATGGTGAAATTGTCAATATTATTCAATAGAAGATTAGGAGATGGTGTGAGATTGACATGACTTTTTTTGGATAGGGATTGAGATTTTGTTTGGTTGGATTCGATTTACTTGACTACTTCAAGAAAGTTGGTGTTTGAATCCATTATTTTGACGACTTGGTGGAGCATTTTGAAATTTAGTGTTAAATAATATGGTTTATATTATATGCGTAAATGTTAGATATAAAATGTTTGGGTAAGTTCTGTATATTTTGTTATTGTAATAGAAACTTAACTGATTATTAGTTATTAGACGAAATTTTATGAAAAAATTGTTCATATGAGAGAACAAATCATTTTTTTCAAATACTTACACTCCTTATTATATTAGTTATAAATCCTAGTGACTGTATTGATATGCTTATTGCCTTATTCTTATAGAAAATAACATATTCAAATAAAGTAAATGATTTTTCATCGAATGACTGTTATAAGGATTGCATGTGATTTTGTTGGTGATATGCAGGCGGGTCTGTCCGTTCATGGGTCATCCATGGGTAATCCGAATATGTTGGGTCAGTTGTATAAGGGTAATGGTTCGGTGGTTAAGATACAATTAGATCATAAATATCTACCTGTCTTCCTCCCACTTTAGGGTTTCCAATCTGTAATTAGGTTTCAATTTATTAGTTGTATTTCTTTTTTTTCTTGATCATACTTATATGAGAGTAGGATAGATCAGTGGCGGACCTTAGTGGTGCCCCAGGGGTTCCGGGCCACTGCTCCGATGCCGGAACATAGTGTAAAAAAAAATTAATGTTTTTTTAATGAGTGCATCGGCTTAAAACACGAGTGACACTACTAATATAGATTTATTTGGAAAAACAATTTAGTGTCATCCCTATGAAAATGTTCTGCATCCGCTACTGGGATAGATGAGCGTAGACTAGGTTTTATGCAGTGAGATTTATATTATAAAAGTTGTCAAACGAAATGATCTATTCAATATTCAATAAAAATAGATTGCTCGTGTTGGAAAAATCTGCTTGCTATTTTTTTGATTTAGGAATTCCTTAATTTTGGATAGGTGTGAGTCTAGAGAAGATAAGATTTTTTATATTATTGTTACGTGCGTGTTCATATAGTTGGGTTATGGATAGAAAGCATAAGCTTCATATTGAATGGGATTTGTGGCTCCAAAATCGGATTTTGTACTCTCCTG